TCCCCTGTACTCCTTCAGTAATTATCGACACCATTCGTCACATCAGATGGTACAAGAGTGCCCTACCAGCTCCTACGTCAGCTCCCCTCGAAGATTCCCTAGAAATCGGAATCAGTTCTGTAAAACCACCCGCCCTCGTACAAGGACGCTTTATTCCCCTCGGCAAAAATATTGCAAAAATATCGACGGAACCACAAGAACAGAACGAGAAGCGCCCATTCACGAACCCCCCCTCAACCCCTCATTCTACACTATCCCCACACATAGCCCTCGCAATGTCACCCCCTCCTTTGAGTCCCCTACCCCCTACAAGGACGAAGTAAATTTCCATACCCCGCTAATTTTCGCGAGTAACACCCCCATTGACCCGTCCCCTACCCCAGAGTATATAAAGAGGTACCGCGAAACGGTAAGGACAGAGTAGAATGATGATGATTATTCAGCAGAACACTTTGACAAACCCATATATTTTTTACCCCCAGGACAATCCGAGATTTAAACTGAAGAGATTTATCTCGAATTACCCCTAGAATGGACAGTAAGCCCCCAAGTTCCCCATAGGACCCCAAGATACCCCCAGACCCCCAGAAAATTCACCCGGAGAACACCGAAAACCACCCCACGTCTTCTTTACCCCCGGGACCATGACCAACTGGATCTGAAAGAAAGGCTTAAAATATTCAGAGAAAGTTAAGAATCCCCTGACGCACCCGATTTGTAAAGTAACCTAATGATTCTTCATTCCGAGATCACAATTAGGCAGTATTAAGTGTACATTTTTACCCCAGTGTCCCGTAATTGTAGCTGTAAGAATTGATACCCCAGAAGGTTAGAGAGTATATAATCAGTCGGTGCGATGAAAGCATGACTGTACAAAGTTGCCCAGAGATCCATAACGATTATTAGTTGAAATCACTCGTGGATAAAATTGTCGTTAGTTTAGGTTTTTAAGTAGTCACATCTTTCCCCCCGAGACCCATAAGGAGCCCCCAAAAATCGAATCCTCCCCCCAGCGATGAAGTCAGGTGAATCCCCACAAC